ATTTGAACTCTAAAATAAAAACATGAGAATAAAATCAAAAAAATAATAAAATTACTAATAATTCTGGAAGAATTAAAGAAACACTTCATTGCTCCGTAATTTAATTAATTTTTATGTTTTATTATTTATTTATTCGCTCTGTTAAGTGCAATTTTCTGACCTAGTTATCCAATCGAATTTTGGGGTCACTTCTAAGGATGGAAGGACAGCGATGTTTCGACCTTAAATTTAGCAAGCTTTTAAATTGGGAAAAAAAGTTTATTAATATGGTTTTAAATCCTGGGGATACCCCTTATATATTTTTATACTCTCAGTGTCATTACATGTTTATTTGACCAAAATAGTTCGTTACTCAAGTTGGTCGAAAGTGAATTCTGTACTAACTTGTGAAAAAATGTCATTCTCAGTCGATTTCGTTTCGTCGATTTCACTATACCATATTGCTGTAAAACGTGGCGTTAAATTGGTCAGTTACATGAAGGAATTTTTTGAGAGATATGTTAATGACTTCAATCATATTAGTGCAATATCTTCAAAGCCTATCTGTGTGTGTTTGATCCCTAAGTTAACAAGACTATTTTGCCGTGGTGTAAAATCGTCTTACGACTAATAGTCTGGAAGGTGATAATAGAGAATAAATTGGCAACGAGATTTTTATTGAAACCAGCCTATTAATTATCCCACTGTATGGTAATTTCGGATTTTCGGTTATATCCTATTGACTAGCTCCCCCCCCCATAACTCCAGATCCTGTAACTCAAATTCCATAAATGTTCTCTTGCATGTCAATTGAATTCTAGATCAAATCTCCATTATTGACTGTCAGGTTGACTAATAGTGATGGATTTTCTCCTCTAAGAGACAAAAGTGGAGAACGGTACTAGCATGTGACAACTAAGCTTAGAGTTCACTCAATATATAATTATAATAATTATTATTATTACTTATTAGCAATGTTGATTGGAGAATTGTGAGTCTAGATGCTATTCCGAATTTATTTGCAATTTCCAAGTTTGGTAGTTCACAAATGGGATTAAGAACATTCGAGAGCATAATCAAATAATCTATCGACTTTTGAAGAGTTATCCTCTACTAAACTACTTTAAAAGTTTGCTGTATTGGGCACTAAGAGGAATTTCCAGAAAGTAGAGATTAAATAAATGTCCTTAAAATTTAGATATGTCAATTTCTTTTAAATTTAACTTTATTTCTCCACACTTAATACTCTTGCAATGGCTCTATTTAAATTTTATGTTTATCAGATATTAAAATCATCGCCAATTCCTTGGGCCTATTTTTATAATAATCGTAACCAAACGAGTAGAGTAATTTGTCATTCAGAACCTTTAAAATGAAAAATAAAATAATCCAGCACAAGTTAAATATAAATTCGTCAAAATTTGTTTAAAGCAAATATTTTGTTTATTATTAGGCAGAGAATAACTTTTCCTAATAAACTTTAACCACTCCAAATTTCGGTCCAATTTTCTTCTTAAAATATAGAATTCACGAAATTTTCGCACAGCTTTTTTTATATTATTAGGGTGCATAAACCACGCATTCTATTGCTGAAAATTTGATTCAAAAATTTTCATAAATTTCTTTTAATGAGCCGCAATAGAGCGTCTGTAATTTTAAATGGCGTGTGGCGACGCTGGAAATACAGTCAGTAGACTCCAAGGAAATAGTATTATGCGAATAGCGAACTTAAATGTCATGCCTACAAAGATTTTCTTGTCCTTAATCTCGAACAGGCGCCATAAATGATCACTGTTTATGAGATCTAAATTAGGTCCACAGGGAGAGATGGAAGATAACAGACGATGACTCTTTCGTTTTCTCTTTGATGTGCTTTGTTACTACGTGATTCATTTAATTATAGAGAGTGTTAAGGATAATTTCTGCAGAATACTATTTAATTGCGTTGGGTAATGGTGCGTATACAAATTCAAACCCTCCTTGATTCACTGACGCAATGGCAACAATAGCAATAGATGATAACTGAAACCCACCTGAATCATGGAAGACACCAAATTTTGTCATAATCACCCACTTTAGTAAGCCGAAAATGCCGATTATTGAGAAGCAGTTGTCACAATCCTGAGAAAGTAAACAGGGAATTCGAGTTTTGGACGCTGAACCATTCATTGAGTCAAAACGTTTGACCTGGTTCTTGCTTCGTATTGAACACCTCTCCTTCATAAATATTATACTTTTCAGTTAAACTATATCTGCCGCTTTCTGTAAATATTTTTTGCAATAAGCTGGGTTTTGGAATACATGCCTTGATAATAATTAACGCAATCACGCTCCAATTGGATTGATTTCCTTCACTCTCTCTATCTCTCTCTCTCTCTCTTTAGACGCTTCCTTAATGTCACAGGTTTGCAAGTGAGAAAAGATATGTTTTGAAAAAATTGCTAAAAAGACAAAATTGGCCATGTGGCGTAATATCGACGCATCTCGTTTCGTTTTCTGTTTGAGTTTGGCTTGATTCTGTTTCGATATTGCTTAAATGCTAACGTAAAATTACCTAGGCTTCACAAAATTATTTCCATTATCCATCGGCTAGATGCCTTAATCCTCTCTTTTCGTTATATACAGAATGTCTAGTAATATTTCACTTAAGGATCTAAATATTCTGTCTCAGTGGTTACTATTTGTTAATGATCGGTGTTTAACAAACATTAACGATTGTTATTTAACTGTTTTACAATGTCCAACCAAATCAAATTGTTTTCTCAGAGAATAGTTTAAAATTATTTCAGTGAAAATTTGAACTCAAACAAGCTATCCAGTGTGACACTTATTATTATTTTGCTGTTTTCTGTATTATATGAGCTCTTTTTTATTTTTCTAGAAGAAATTTTTGGCGTCAGTTTCTAAATGAAACCGAGGGGGGGGGGGAGGGGGATTTAGCAAACATGCAGTCGCAGCATTAATTTCATTATATTAAAAGGATGTTTATTGCCTCCTCACTCGCACTCCCTCTTCCCGCCCTCNCCCCCCCCCCCACCCCACCTCCTCCCTCTCTCGCTCTCCCTCTCCCTATCCCTCTTATACTATCCGGCGGGTTAATTAATTTCAGTAACCACGAGAGGATTCTGTATGGCTTCCGTCTCCCCGAAGCCTACGGTCTGTGGCAGTAACTCAACTATTTCCATGCAGTGCCAATTATTTTAAAACTAAATGTATACGCCAATTATAGGAAATTATTTTAATCAAAAACCATAAGATATTAATTATTCCAGAGCGATAAAAGTTAACATGTAACGAATTTGTTCAATAGCGTTTTCTTATTTCTATCTGTTTGGTAAAAGGCTTTCAGATGGAAAGCACTTGAAAATTGGAAAGAGCGAAACAGTACGATCGGGGTTGTATGAAAATTAAAGTGATCAACTAGAAAATGATAAAAGCGTGAGGTAATTAAAAATATACGTCATTAGAACTTTGAGAGACTTTTGTTCTTGTTTGTAGCACAGTTTTTAATAATTCAACGTGTCAATACTGAGAAACACTTATATTTTAAAATATCAGTATCTTTTGTTTAAGCGGTCTAATTGAATGTAATGCTACAATTCAGAATAAATGGTAACTCAAAACCTATTATAATTCCCACTTAAATAAAATAAGAAAGTGAGTTAAAAGGATTATTAGACAACTAAAGGAATTTGCCATGAAAGAAGCTTGCCCTTTAGTGTGAATAAATTAATTTTTTGATATCTACACGAAGATTGCTGTTGTCGAAGTAATGCGGCTGGCTACAACTTCCTGCAACTATCTCCATATCAACCATTATGGGTATTATAATTTTAGGGATGGAATCTTGATTTTGATACATATGAGAACATAAGCTTTTCGTGTAAATTGTTGCCATATTTTCGCTTTTTGATATCCGCTCTATTCGAAATAGCTTATAACAAAAAACTTCATCTTCTCTGAAAGTGAATAAATCAACCCTTTAAAATGTAACCAGCGTATTGTCTTGAAGTTGAATGAAGCCTCGTTGTATCGTGTTTTGAGTGATTTTATTCCTAAATAGGGCGATTATTTAGGAAAACTGGAAACTGATTATCCTGAAAAGGACAAAAGATCTTGATGAGCTTTAGATTTTTCATTAAACTTAACGAATTTCTCTCGGAAGAGCTACGCTCCAGTTCAAAGGAATTAAGAAACAAAGTTTGATTCGAACTGACCTTAAACTTTGAATTGCTTACTTTCACCAGATAAATAAATGAAATGAAATGAAAGTTACAGATGTATTAATTACTAAAAAATCGATTAATTAACCTAGTTTAATAGGATAATAAGGACTTAGTTATATGCTCTATAAAGTGCAATACATGCCGAAAGTATACAAAATGAGAAAATGAATCAATTTGGACTCATCTCACTGAAAAACAATTTTCTTGGCATTAGCACAGTGTAGAATTAGAAATTAACATATAATTTCAGCCTTAACAATTGCTTTTCTATTTTCTCTTGACCTTAAGATCTAAATTAATTATATCTCATCACTACTAAATACATGTGTACGACATTTTAAAGTTGACTTGGATATATAATGAAACTTTCAAATAGCTATGTGTTAATCTTTAAAGTTAGTTTATCCCTTTGGTAAATAACTTGAAAAGAAGTGAATTTTCTTATATTTTGATAATTTAAATAAACTTATTAGCCAAATTATATGCAGCAGTTTTAACTACTTCTATTTAAGTAACGTTCAAGGTTTTCATACTTATTGTCCTAACATCAACACTGGCGCTACTTTAGATGGATAGATTGACCAAACCTGAATATTTCTCGCCTCGATTTGTTGAATATGCAAATGAGCATTCGATTTATGCGCTAATAGAGGTTTGATATTTTAAATCGGACATGGGTATAGAATCTTTTAAAACGGCTTATTATTTCGAAACCTGATGATCCAATCGAATTTCTAATTAACGTACTTAAAAATGAATCACTTAACAGTAAGACTGTGATAACATTGCTTATTAATGAAACCAGAACCATCTGTCTTTATAATTGGACCACCATGCTCCGGGAAATATTTATTAGGGGAATATGTTTCTCGAAGGTTGAATTGCATACATATTTCAATAAATGTACTAAGAGAAATTATTGATAACAACGAAGATGCGAATAATATCGAAAAGGCGCAGATTTACGCTAATTTTCTCAAGACTCGGTTATCCGAATATGACTGTGAGAAAAATGGCTATGTTCTAACTGGGTACCCTACAACTCTGGCTGAAGGAAAGGCCCTGCAAAGATCTGGTATCTTTCCTGAAAGAATACGTAATATATCACGTTTTTAATTTCTGTAATATTTAGTTGCTTTGGATGCACCTGATAACGTTCTTAAGGAACGGGCGGCTTTGAAATTTGCTGAGAACATAAATAATGGCAAGTTAGCTTTAGTATAATGATCTTCTTAAGATAAAATACCTTCCTCGGATTCTGAAGACAGAATAAGTGGTGAAAAATCGGAAAATCCCAATAATATCGATTCACAAATAGCCGATTACCGTCGTCATTTCATTGACCTCAGCCGAATATATAAGAACAAAATTACTCATATCCCCGCTGATCGTTCATTAAGTGAAGTGTTTCAGCGAGTAATGTGTTATTTATCTCGTCCACTTCAAAATCCAGCCATGTGGATACCTAGAATTGTCCTACTAGGTTTCTCAGGTTCTGGTCGCAAGACTGTAGCCGAAAAACTGACGAAGAAATATAATCTTGTTACATTGCATTGTGGAACACTTATTCGTAGAGAGATCGCTAGAGAAACTAAGCTGGGAATGGATATGAAACCCTACGTCGATTCCCATTGCGCAGGTTTGTTTTGCGTAATAGCTCATTCGGTATTCATTAGTACCTGACGAAATGGTGATTGATTTACTTAAAAAATGTTTATCGGAAGCTGCTTGTGCAATAAAAGGTTGGATATTAGTGGGATATCCCAGAACAAAGCTTCAAGCCCAAGCCCTTGATATATCCAGTCTTTCGCCAAATCGAGTTATATTTCTGGATATCAATCGAGCAGAAGCCAAAGAGAGGCTAAAAAGTCGAGAATTTAGTGAACCACGTGAGGTGCACTACAATGCTCCGCTAAGTTCATTGGTGCGGCGACAACCCAACAAAGAGGTTAATAGGGTGAGATAACTTCGTATCCAAATAAATTGCTACTTAAATCTTAATAGTAAACATTTTATGACGATTCAAAGCTTTAGTCTTATGATTTGGCAGTTAAGAGTTTTCTAATTTTGATTAATTCCAAAATCTAATTGCGTTTATCCTTTATCTCCATATTGTGTTTATAGGTCAATTTCAAATTAAATCGATTTGCAGCGCATAGAATTGAGTTGGACGAGTACTATGGCCAGCGTATTCTCTTTGTGGAAGCGAACAAAGATGAGGAAACTGTGTTTGAAAATGTGGAATACCTAATTGTAAATGAACCACCTCGACATATCTTCCCCGTATGAAATACCCCCCCCCTCCTCCCCCCTCCAAATAGCTCGAATAAATTGCTTGGAATCCCAATCTGTGACTTTTCTTCTCTGCTCCATTGCACAGCTTGCTTAAAATGACGAAGTTATATGGCACTAAATGTTTCACTCTTTAAATCCTTAAAAAACCACTTAAATCTGCCTTCATTTCTTGTTTGAAGTTGCCTTCGAGGTTGCTTTAATATATCACTGCAAATTTTCTCGGCTTCAATTCTTGAAGTGATTTTTGCGACTCGTTTCAACCAGTGTTAAAATTAATTCCTACATTGAATGTAAATTTTTATTTGTTTGTGCTTATTTCATTATTAAGGCGGCTTTTAGGGCTTATTATAATAATTCTGTCTATCCTTATTTGAGATACTTACTTGCGGACTTAATGGCCTCAATTCTGAGCTAAATTTGCTGAATTATTTCAAAGAATTTATTTAAATTTAAATGAGCTCCAGAGTTCCATCAGCTCCTTATTGTATTTCAAAACTTCCCAGTTGTAAATATACTCTCGTATTTTGTTGAGTTACTTTGCCGATTTCTATAGTGGAGTAGATTTCATCACTACTATTCGCAAGCCCAACATTTTGTCTTTGGATGCTTCTGGTGGTATTGAGCCCAGCACGCTTACTTGACTATGCTGTCCGTTGGTTAACATTTCCTCAACCATCTAGTCGATTGTATATAAGAAAAAGATTTCGACAACTCCGCTATACTTCACTAGCCCCTCCCCCCAACCCTCCCCCTTTCTCCCTTATGTATTCTCTACCTCATTAGTCATATCGCTTGCTGTCCGCGAATAAGTATATTCCCGTTCACCTTTTTTGGCCAAATGTATAACTCTGACAGCGTCCAAATGTTCTCACTTGCTCAAGGTCTACCTGTCTCTCTGACTATTCACCGACACATTTGATTAAGCACATAGAGCTGCCTTTCAATATGTCATATTTGTCGTCTACGGACTGGAAAATTAGCCATTCTTTGCCAAATAATGTTCCTAATATTTCTAGTAAAGCCTTAGTTTCCTATCACACCTGCAGTCTCCTGACACTTGAACGCAGTTTTCGCCTTTATGTTTGAGATTTAGGAAGATCCAAGTTTCGTAAATAATCTTCAGCAATGTTCCGCTGCAATAGATCACCGCTGTAGGTTTATACTTGCTTCAAATTTGTCATTTTTTTAAACAAGGCTTCAAAATGCTACCATTAGTTGCTGCCTCCATTACAATCGGAAAAAAATAACTTAAAAATCAAGCTAATAATTTATTGTCTTTTTAACGCCCATCAGTTAAATTATCGATTAAAAAATTTCCAACCTAATTTTAGGTGGCTAATAGTACAGGAATTCATATATGTTAACTTTAGTCTAAATTATAGCAATCACCGATAGGGCCTCTTGAGCACAATGCTTAATTGAATGCACCATTTTTGAGATATTCGCCTTCTAATTATTGTTTTCACTTTGGCTTGATTTGCATTTAAG